GGTTGGTGAAAATGTTTGTGCAGGATAAAGTTGCCCTTGAAGTTGCATAAAAGGGAGGACCCTGTGCTCATGGAATGGTATTTTTTTTTCATTAGTACATGTCCCCATGCCATTGCCCAGATCTCCATGCCATTTGATTGACAAGTGCTTGCCTATTAGCCTTCAGAATTGCCAGAAATAATTTTCAAGATTTATCCAACGATTTTAAAGGGCTTTGGACTTAAGTTAGCAATTATCAAGCTAAATAATGGGTTCAACAAACATGAATTCAACCCAGACATATTTGTTCATCCATAAATGATGCATCACTGTTCCTGGACTGAGCGCAACATTGCCAGTCTCATCCTGTTTGTGCCTGTTTGCACTACAGTGTTAAAAAAAATATTGCAGGAAGCATGAGTATCAGCTTTGGTACTTCTGATTCACAAGCCTGTGACCTGTCAATACAGGCACCTGGCCATACTTATTCCTTCCAACTGTTTTCTGGGTTGTCAGCAACTGCCTCTGTTGCTAAAACCCTTTTACTGTGAGCTGCAGTATCCGGGGTATCCGGGGAAGTTTGGGGGTTTGTGGGGAGGTGATACACAAAAGAAGTAGGATTTGGCTAAGCTAGGTAAAGGAAGGGACTTTTTTTATTTTATTTTATTTTTAAGCTTGGAACTAGATCTGGTAATTGTTTAGATTGCCATACAGGAGCCTTTAGTTCTACTTTGTAGTAACTTCTAAATGTAATAATTATCTGACAAAAAAAAAAAAAACCTAGAAAATGTAAACATTAAAAATCCTGAACCATAACCAAAAGAGAGTTTGGATACCATAATAAATGGAACAACGTGTGAATATTGCTCCTTCTCCATGAAGTAAATTATCAGTCTTTCATGAAAGAACAGAGTGTCACATAAGGGCACATAGAAATTCTCAGGCTTTGATGAAGTTATGTTTTCACAATAAACTACACAAAAGCATTAAGTTGCTGAACTTAATGGAAAGAAACAATTCCAACTACATTTCCTGCTTACAGAGTAATAAGTAGAAGGTCTAGTCAACAAGCTCGTGTCGTAAGATATTTACTAGCATGCATTACACTATTGAATTTTCCAATTGATAGTGTGATAGTTGACATAATGCACAATTATGAAAGTGGTAATGTGATTTTAATGGGACACATGAAATTAACATTTCAGGACGCAGTCCCTTTTTCATGACATTGATTTCTTTTTTCTTCTCATTAAAGTGCCACTTAACAGAAGTCATTACATTATTGTTCATTCACTCTGCTTTAATTCAGTATTTTGAGCTTTTGCTACTTTTTATCAACAAGACCTAACCTAATGAAGTCTGTTTTATGGCACTAACTGGCCCTGGTATTTTTCTGCTGTAGAGTAGTTTTAGATAATTTTTTTTCTTTCTCTATCCTAACCCTTCAAATATAAGTGCAATGCAGGCAACATTTGGTCAGTGCACATCATGGCTTGCATTTCTCAGCCCATTCATGAAATGCAGGCCACAGTGTGGACCCTGTGGTGTCCTAAGAAGTTCCCTTTGCTTGATACAACCTAGAGAACTCTATGATTAAAGTAGAGGTTGGTCAATGAGCTAACTTTCACTTTTTCATTTCATCCATTTTAATAGCACTGTGCTAATGTCAGAGACATAAAGTCAGCCGAAAACTAAACATATTTGTAATACACATGTCTGTGCTTTTAACCCCTTGACGCTGACGGCACACAAATATGCGGCTCCCAGCACAGAGACCATGGTGTCACTGAGAGCCCCTGGTCCCATTCTAACGATCAGGACCTGGGACTCCTGATTCCAGGTCACGTGATCGCTGTGATAGCCTTTGATTGGCTATCACAGTGATCAGTCACTGTGCAGCCCAGCCCACTTGTTTTTTATCTCTCTATGAATGGAGAAGAGAGATACATTGTATCTCTCTAACTCCTGACATAGAGAGATAAAAAAAAGTTTGTAAAAAAAAAAAAAAGGGTAAATAAATAAATATTAAAAAATAAAAGAAAAAATTAAAGAAAAATACATAGATCAAGGTTTGATCTAGTTCAATACCAGGTTAGTGTTTGGGTCAAGGTTAGGGTCAAAGATCAAGGTCAAAGGTCAGGATTTAAAAAAAAATGGTATCAGTGTCAGTTAGCGTTAATGTCACTGTCAGTGTCAGTGTGTTTTAGGTAAAAAAAACAATAAAAAAACAAAATGCAGACTATTGTTTCTGGGGAGTACTACAGTACAAACAACAAATAACATACACATATATGGTATCGCTGCAATCGTCAAGAGCTGGAGAATTTATTTTGGGTTGTTCTATGGAGGTAGGTTATGGTCGTAACAAGAAACACACAGCTAAATAGAAAAAAAAAATTTTTTTTTTACTATTTGGGCCTGTTTTCCTTTGATAATGAAAAAAATTAGGAGCTATCCATTACCATATACCACCAAATGAAAGTCCAATTTGTCCTGAAAAAAACAAGGTATAATCCACCCGGATGTACAAAGTAGTTGTGATGATATGTGCGGTTTTAATAACATGTCAACGTTGCAGAATTGTGCTTCGGCCTTTAGATTTGTTTTACCGTTAGGCGTGAAGGGGTTAAGCAAAGTCAAAGCCACTATTGGGGAATATTCTTTTTAAAAAGACCCAAAGGTATTTATCTGTACTACATTATCTGTGTAAAATATTGCAGTTTTAGCAACCCATGTACACGTAGGCTTTCCTTCAAAATGCACTCAATGCATTACTTTTTTGTTATGTAGTTCAAGTTATACTACATGAAAGAGCCACTATCAACACCACCTTATTCATAGGATAAAACAACCCTGTTCAGCTTAGCTTTACAACCCATTGATATTGGCAGCTTTAGGTTAAATGAAAGGCAAGATCTTTGGTAGATATTGCTGTTGTGACGTCTAGAGTTTATAAGAAGTTGATATTTAAAATATCTAATTTGGGTGGACTGACCTTACAAATGTGCTTCCATGTACTATAGACTGTTTACATGCACTTCAATCATTTTAAAAGCATTACCATGTATTTTTTTGAAAAATGCCTAGAAATTAAAATAAGTGCTTCCACAATCAACACAAATAAGTGTGCAATGCAATTGATTAACATCTCAATACTTCCATGTGCAATGGAAGTATTAAGATTTTGTCCATTTGCATCACACATTTTCTTTATATTACACTTAAATTAGACTAAAAGTGCATCGGTGTCCCAGCCATGTTGACAGGTAGAAAGATGTGTCCGTATCATGAAATACTGTAGCATATCTTAATGAATATAGCATAAAAAGAGAAAGCAGTGCATGCACTGTCTTTCAGTTTGAAAGCAAAAGGTTTAATGCCATTGCACAGAGATTTTCCAGGAAAGATGGATGGAAAGCCTCTGGGAGCACCTTTCTTGCCATGCTTGTTCTGTAGCACGGCTCTCTGAGTAGCCTTAGGGAGGTGTCATACTCTCCCAAGTGCAACATGTGTCAATGAATCATGGCAGGATCAGGCTGCTTACAGCCTATCTTCCCTAATGCAGGTCTAGTAGTATACTCAAACTGGATGTCCAGTAAGCTCTTGTTTCAGCAGTACATCAGTAAAAATGAAAACAAGATAATACTGGATGCCAGGCAAATAAAAGAAAGACTGATGTTAATTCTGTGATAATTTGTACATAAACAGAAATGTCTTGCTGTTTTTTAAGCATTTATTACATGAGAAATAATTTGTATTATTATTTATTATTATTACATCGAGTTTATATAGCGCCAAAGGGTTTACTCAGCGCTGTACAATAGAGGGGGGGACAATACAAGAAACAGAACAGCAACAACAACAGTACACGAGGGGTTAGAGGGCCCTACTCTTTCGAGCTTACAATCTAGGAGGGAGGGGGTAGTAGCACAGGTGGAAGTGGCTGTGGGGGATTCAGTGGTAGGAGGAATGAAGGAGAACGGCTGTTAGGTGAGGGAGGGGTAGGCTTCCCTGAAGAGGTGGGTTTTCAAGGAGCGCCTGAAGGTGAGGAGGGAAGGTGACAGTCTGATGGATTGGGGCAGTGAGTTCCAGAGGATGGGGGAGGACCTGGAGAAGTCTTGCAGTCATGCGTGGGAGGAGGAGACCAGAGAGCAGATAGAAGGAGGTTCTGTGAGGAGCGAAGGGTACGGGTAGAGTGGTACTTGGGAATCAGGTTGGTGAGGTAGTTAGGGGCAGTGTTGTGAATGGCTTTGTAGGTCAGGGTTAGTAGTTTGAATTTGATGCGTTGGGCAATCGGGAGCCAGTGGAGAGATAGGCAGAGGGGGGTGGCAGGTTGGTATGGACATTCCTAAATCTTGCTTCCATGGGTTTTCACTGAAAGCTTTAGTTTTTCTCCCCAAAATATTATGGTTACTGTTTGACTGATTGACTGTGTGGTAGGGATGTTAGGGGTTTTCCATAAATTATGTCACACACTGGTGTGTTTGAAACTTTTGTGATAGCATGTGAAATGTGTAAGAATGAATATAACCATCACTCTGATTTTTTTACTCATCCTATATAGACCTCAAGTTAACCCATCCCACTGTAATTAAAGTCCCAGCATAACCTATAGTGTGGCTCAGCTGTTACAAAAGATACAAAATTGTGAACTGTAAAGTTATGTCTGGCTGACAATGCAAGACTTTATAGGTAACACCTAAACTAACCTCCAAATAGGCAAATTTAGATGTCTTGAAGTGTGTAGGATAATTGCATTCTCAGACTGATGCATCTGTATGTTGGGCTGACTTTTACAGGGATGAAAATACTAAGGAATGCTGTATTTGCACTGACATACATGCAAGCCACCCAAACTTACTGCTACAATATGTGGTGGAAACCTTTACAACACTTTTAAGTGACTCTCTTTCTAACCCTTCTTCTCTCCACCAGCAACTCAAACTGGTCACTCCTGATTAAGAAAAGGTTCCCGGGCATGTTATCTGCAGCCAGGTGAGTGGCTTTACACTGTCAGAACTTGCATGCAGGCAGATACCTCATAGCATGCAATTTCACCAGAAGACCTAGCTACTGTACTGTGAGAAGCCTCTCTCCAATTGTTACCAGAATACTCCAGTGCCAGTGTGATGGTGCTTTGTCTATTCCTCAGAGGGGACATGTCCACAGATCATCAGAGCTCTGATGATCAGTGTGCCCTGATGATCTGTGTAGCTCCAGCAGTGCCACCTGTCAGTGTCCATCAGTGCCAGCACTCAGTGCTCATCCATGCCACCTGCCAATGCCCATCAGTGCCACATCAGTGCCACATTAGAGTGCCACATCAATGCCACATATCAGTGCCCATCTGAGCTGCCTTTCAGTGGCACCCACCAGTGCCAGTCAGTGCCACCTATCAATGCCAGTCAGTGCCACCTATCAGTGCTGCCAGTCAGTGCCGCCTATCAGTGCCAGTCAGTGCCGCCTATCAGTGCCAGTCAGTGCCGCCTATCAGTGTGCACCAGTGCCGCCTATCAGTGCGCATCAGCGCCGCCTAACAGTGCCAGTCAGTGCCACCTAACAGTGCCAGTCAGTGCTGCCTATTAGTGCCACCTATCAGTGCCGCCTATCAGAGCCATATATCAGTGCTGCCTTTCAGTGCCAGTGCCCATCAGTGCCACCTACCAGTGCCTCCTCATCAGTGCCCATCAGTGCCACCTATCAGTGTCCATCAGTGCAGCCTATCAGTGCCCATCACTGCAGCCTCATTAGCGCACATCAGTGAAGGAGAAAAAATCACTTATTTACAAAATTTTATAGCAAAAACTAAGAAAAAACTTTTTTTTTTTCAAAATTTTCAGTGGTTTTTGGTTTGTTTAAGAAAAAATAAAAAACCCAGAGGTGATTAAATACCACCAAAATAAAGCTCTATCTGTCACAAAAAATGATAAAAATTTCTTATGGGTACAGTGTTGCATGACCGCGCAATTGTCATTCAAAGTGCAACAGTGCTGAAAGCTGGAAATTGGCCTGGGCAGGAAGGGGGCATAAGTGCCCTGTAGGCTAGTGGTTAAATGCCCATCATCCCAATCCCACCTCCAAAAATTAATTGTATATATCAACCAAAATATACAAATACAGGAACCGTATAGACTAAATACATAATAAAAAAAATCATATGTAACTAAAACTGAATTCACTTAATGATGACGTAATCAGCAATCATCCCAATAATCACTAACCTAAAGCATAACCCCTCAGTGTTTAATGTGTAACTAAACCCCTAAATAATCCTATTATAATGACTTTCTGATATATATATTGACTTTCTGATCTTTATAGATACCTACAAGAAAGTATATATATATATATGTGGCATGATATAAAGTCCATAAAGCGGAGCTCCACCTAGTAAGGACTCCCACTTCTGCTGCGATTGCCTAAGGCGATCGGAAGCAGAAGTTGTCCTCCTACCCTCCCTCCCCGTAGTCTTCTGGGACACGTGACAGGTCCCAGAAGACTATGGGACCATTCACAGTGCTACTCTTGCATTGGCAGTGGGCACCCGGCTGTGAAGCCCCAAGCTGTCACAGCTGGGTGCCCACACTGGAGATGGGGAATGAAGACGGCTGGTGAAACCAGCCATGGTGAGGACACCGCTGGATCATGGGACAGGTAAGTGTCTGTATTTTTAAAGTCAGCAGCCACAGTTTTTGTAGCTGCTGACTTTCATTTTTTTTTAAATCAACTGGAACTCTGCTTTAATGACATACTTCTTTTCCTTGGTGGGGTGAATAAAATCTTTACATCTCCTGGCGTTATTAGTTCTTACACAACTATAACAATAACCACAAGCAACAAAAACCTTTTCCCTCAAATAATGTATAATTCCTTGATTTAGGAGAGTCCATAATATTATGGACCAATTTGTCTCTTATTGTTGGTGCTTTTTTATATATAAATCTAGGTTTTGTTGATACATAATTTATTAAATGTTTATCTTATTGAACTCCATTTTAATGACATACTTCTTTCCCGTGGTAGTGTGAATAAAATCTTTACATCTCCTGGCGTTATTAGTTTTCACACAACTATAATGACCACAAGCAAAAAGAAACCTTTTCCCTCAAATAATGTATAATTCCTTGATTTAGGAGGGTCCATAATATTATGGACCAATTTGTCTCTTATTGTTGGTGCTTTGTTATATATAAATCTAGGTTTGGTTGATACATAATTTAAAATTAAATGTTTACCTTGTTGAAGAATCCACCAATGTTTACATATTATTCATTCAATTTGTTTATATTGTATATTATAGTTCAACACCACTGCTAATCCCATATCAATTTTAATATTGCTTTTATCCATCAATAATTCTCTTCTATCAATGTTTATGACCTGTTGTCTCTCCTGCTCTAAATGTACCTTATTATACCTTTTTTTCTCAAACATAGCCATTGTTCTATCAGTTTGGCTTTCAAAGTCTATAACATGGGTGCAGTTTCTTTTTATTCTCATAAACTGTCATCTGGGTATATTAGCTAACCATAGTTTATAATGGCAGCTATTTCTTGGAATATATGAATTTCTATCAGTTTTCTTAAAATCATTTTTTGTAGATTTTGTCTTCTATTTTCATCAGTTCTAAATCTAAAAAATGTATCTTGCTGTTACTGCTCTCCCATGTAAGCTTAATATGCCTGTTACAATTATTCAGCGTATTCATAAATTCTTCAACATTTTCCTGTGTTCCATCCCATAATAATACTAGATCTTCAATAAATCTGTATCATTTTATCTCTGGTTTTATCATACTGGAACACATATTCCTCCTCCCATTTCGCCATGTATATGTTAGCTATACTGGGCGTAAATTTTGTGCCCATAGCTACTCCTGCTTTTTGTAAATATTGTTTATAATTATACCCAAAAAATATGTTTGAGACAAAATTCCAAACTTTTTAAAATTTATTTTTTTTTATGCTTCCTAGTCAGTCCTGAATATTTAGTTAATGCCCACTTAATGGCTTCCACGGCTCTCTCATGATCTATATTAGTGTATAGCGACACTACATCTGCTGTAAGCGTCACTGTATGATCTGAAACATTGATAGACTGTAACAACTGTAATACATGTTTATTATCCTTTAAATACGCCTGAGTCTTTTGTACTAAAGGCTGCAGAAAGAAATCAATATATTCGCCCAATCTAGATGTAAGAGAATCAATGCCATTTATAGGCCTACCAGGGGGATTTAAGCTATCTTTATAAATTTTAGGGATGCAGCATATTACTGAAATTGTACAAGTAGATGGGATTAGATATTTGTTTATTAAGGACTCCTTTTTTACCTTTAAGGAGGGGTGGGCTCCCTCAGGTCCACCTGCCCTTGGTCTATCCATTAAATACATGTGCCTCTACTATGGGGACTCTCAAAATTTGTAGAGTTAGGACTACAGAGCATCAGGGTGCCATGATGAGGCTCTGTAGCTTACTCATTTATTTGCAAATGTGTGCTAACTAAACCCCTGTTTTTAAACACATACTGTTAGACAGGTTAATTCGGTTTGTTTGCAGGCTGGTTGGCAAGTTGAGCCTGGAATTTTTCTCTTTTGTTGTTTGACATGTGTTGCCCCTCCATGTGCTCTTTTCTGTGAAGGCCAGTTATAGACTGGGGCAGCAGCCATTTTTTGTACTCCTCTTTTAGCACCATATTTTATAATCTTCTCTAGTTCCCTTTTATACAATCAGGTGGGATTATTTGGTAATATCTCATACGTGTTAGTGACCCCCAATAATGTCTCCATCTCATTGGTATACTGTTCTTTTTTTTTTTTTTTTAAATAAAGGAGTTTTTAGCAAAAAAAAGCACTATGTTTTGCTTATTTTGATATTTATGCTGAGCGGTGGAATATGAAGGAGGAGATGGTCTACAATGGACCCAGAAGGGGGAAAGACACTTCAGGATACACCTCTGCATAGTCCATTTAAAGGGACACAAGCAATATTTGACCAAACATTGTATATGTGAGGTCAAAAGCTCCAGGTGAGAGTACATCGGGTGTATTGGTGATGGTGCACAAATTTTGGGAGAAGATTTGAATGTATGGATGGAATATTATGTGTCACAAGTTGATGATTTTTTAAGGACTATGAGAATTGATGGGACTTTTTTTTGAAAGCACATTTGTTTATGTGTATTCAGTTTATATAGTATTACATGTTTACTCACAGGATGATTATGATTAGAGATGAGCGAATTATTCAAAAATTCGATTCGGCTGATTCTCCGAATTCGCGGAATAAATTCGATTCGAGGCGAATATATTCGCTGCGAATTTAACATGTAAAAAGGGTGTTTCTAGGCTTCAGAGAGCCTTTATATTAGTGCAGAACACTGTACCTTTAATTTAAATGCCCTTGGAGTCTGCTGGGGAAAGAAATAATACTGTCAGTCAGTATATGACATGCAGATGAGTGCCGTCGATCTTAGAATCACCGCACACTTCACTCATTTGGGCAGTCACGGGGCCAAAACCAGAGTGTGGAGCCACAGTGTGGCGGTGGAGGCAGCAGCAATGGGAGGCCATACAGCACCCTATGACAAAATGGAACCCACCAGCAGTGTGAGGAGACATGAAAGTGGCACATGGCAGAGTGTGGCGATGGAGACAGCAGCAATGGGAGGCCGTACAGGGACCCATGACACACTCTGGACCTGGCAGCAGCATGAGGAGGCGGTACAGGGGCCCATGACAGATTACGGGCCTGGCAGCAGCATGAGGAGTCGGTACGGGGGCCCATGGCAGATTACGGGCCTGGCAGCAGCAATGGGAGGCCATACAGCACCCTATGACAAAATGGAACCCACCAGCAGTGTGAGGAGACCTGAAAGTGGCACATGGCAGAGTGTGGCGATGGAGACAGCAGCAATGGGAGGCCGTACAGGGATCCATGACACACTCTGGACCTGGCAGCAGCATGAGGAGGCGGTACAGGGGCCCATGACAGATTACGGGCCTGGCAGCAGCATGAGGAGTCGGTACGGGGGCCCATGGCAGATTACGGGCCTGGCAGCAGCAGCAATGGGAGGCCATACAGCACCCTATGACAAAATGGAACCCACCAGCAGTGTGAGGAGACCTGAAAGTGGCACATGGCAGAGTGTGGCGATGGAGACAGCAGCAATGGGAGGCCGTACAGGGACCCATGACACACTCTGGACCTGGCAGCAGCATGAGGAGGCGGTACAGGGGCCCATGACAGATTACGGGCCTGGCAGCAGCATGAGGAGTCGGTACGAGGGCCCATGGCAGATTACGGGCCTGGCAGCAGCATGAGGAGGCGGTACAGGGGCCCATGGCAGAGTGGCGGAGCGTAAGCAGCTAAAAATGAAGGCCATACAGAGGCCTATGTTAAAAAGTCCCCCCAGCAGCAGCATGGGGAGACGACTAATAGTCGTCTCCCCACGCTGCTGCTGGGGGGACTTTTTAACATAGGCCTCTGTATGGCCTTCAATTTAAGCTGCTTACGCTTCGCCACTCTGCCATGGGCCCCTGTACCGCCTCCTCTTGCTGCTGCCAGGTCCAGAGTGTGTCATGGGTCCCTGTACGGCCTCCCATTGCTGCTGACTTCATCGCCAGACTCTGCCATGTGCCACTTTCAGGTCTCC